ATGCATATAGGATATTGGTGGGAAATCTAGAAGGAAAGAGACCACTGGGAAGACCAAGACTTTGGTGGGTGGACAATATTAAAATTTGTCTTAGAGAGCTGTGATGGGATGGTATGGATTGGATTGATATGGCTCAGGATAAGGACCAGTGCAGGACTCTTGTGAACACGGTAATGAACCTTTGGGTTCCATAAAATGTTGGGAACTTCTTCATTGGCTGCACAATTGGCGGCTCCTCAAGAAGGGCTCAGCTGCATGAGTAAGTAAGTATAATACTGAAATTCGTATCTACCCGCATCAGGCCCGCGGGCCAGGGTTTGCTTGCCTTCGGTCTAAGCCTTGAAGGGTTGAGGGGCGACAGAGGGAGATGCCTAGTTTCATGCGCTCGGTCGACCGGGTGGTCGCTTACTAGGGGTGGGGAATCAATAGCATAAATTGGAGTGAGGTGGTGGTAAGAGGGTAGAGAAGGGTGGAGGGGTGAACGCGGAAGGACGGTGGCAATAATAGCAGTAGGAGAAAAAACGCGAAGTCATAGGGCTGTCGTAGTCGAAGTGGATTTTGGAGGAGGCTGTACTGTTGCTTATGAGGTTTAACGCAAGCTGAGAGATCTCAGATGTCTACAACAGCCTCGGAGTTTCAATATGCAGATCCCTGTGATCTGGAAAGCGACGTAATGTTTTTGTCAGCAGTTCATTTAAAATATGAATCAAATAAACAGAACTCTATTTATGAAAAATATACATCATCAGATAATATTATCCTCGCAGCTTACAGGTTAACACCCTTCTTCATATTAAAGATTTTTTCTCGAGCATATTTGTCCTTAGCACTGAAAGAAATTACTGCTGCTGCTTATATCCATTTTGATCTCATCCTCGTCGGTATGCCTACTTATAGCGACTGGCTACGGGCTAGACGACCGAGGGGTCGGACTCCCGGAAAGGGCGAGATTTTTCTCCTCCCCACGTTGTTCAGACCGGCTCTGGGGCCCACCCAGCCTCCTATCTAATGGGTACCAGAGGCTCTATCTCTGGGGGTAAAACGGCCAGAGGCGTCAAGCTGACCACTTACCTCCATCTAGTGTCGAGATCAAGGAAACGTGGATGTATCCGTCCACTGCACCATACGCCTTCATGGCATAGTGTTTAATTAGTTAAGCACAGGGACAACTATACTTTTACTCTCAACCAGCCATCCAGTGGTCCAACATAAGCAGATGAAGAATAATAATTAAATGAGATATATAATTTTTATTATTATTTAAGATATTCGTCTGTCAGGCCTCATCCAATTCGGATTAACCTATAAATAAATAAATGTATACATTCTGTAAGCTCATTGAACTGGGGACTAATACAGCTACACAGGACAACACGAGACAGAGAAACGTGGACACAACGTTCTTGCCTCGAGCGGGGTTTCAACCCACCATCACAGTGACTGTGCCCTCACTGTGGTCGTCTCTCATCATCATCATCAGCATTAATGTTATCGTTATTTAGTCGAAATTGCCTTGTTTAATTGCCAAATTTTACCATATGTACGGCTACATCGAAAATCGATAGTTTTAGGCACAGTTATTTGATAGGTTTGGAAATCTATCCTACGCATATGCCAATGTAGACAGAAGTGCTGTGTAACACTGTAATTGAATCTGGAATTCGCAACGGACTAGTTACGTTAATTAAAATGTGTATGCATGAGATGTCTAGTAGAGCTCGTACAGGTAAACATTTATCGGGTACTTTTCCGATTTACATCCTAATAAACCAGTGGGTTATTTTTATCACCACTGTGATTTAATTTTATTGCGCTCAACATGTAGCGTGCGTTGGCGAGACAAGAAACAGATACATAATTTTTGTGGACAAACGTTTTGGAAAGTGGTGAGGAAGGACAGAGAAAGAATTGTATTAACCGTGTAAAGCGTAGGAGAGTAACTAAATGTACCACCTTTTTCTTTTCCCCTTGGCACTACAGCCCCAGTGGGCCTAGGCCTACCTCCATGAACTTCTCCGTTCACTTCGGTTTTGCTAGATCTTACACATTCGGTAGGACGCCTTGGGCGGGTGATCAGCTCATCGCTAGGCCTCTACCTGTAGACAAACACAGAAAAACGCACACACACAAACTAAACATCCATGCCGTGACTGGGATTCGAACCCACAATCCCGGTTTCCAAGCGAGCGAAGACAGTACATGCCTTAGACCGCTCGGCTACCGTGACCGGCGTACCACCCTTTGTAACATTAAAATACTTAAGCCCCAGGTTGTTAGCTAGTTAGATGTTTGTGTCTGCTTTTCATAAGCAAGATTTTCCTAAAACATTTCATCTAAGTAGAAAAGCTTTGCTGGTATTCTGCCAGATTTAATATCCAGGTGTAAATGCAGTTGACTTTCCAGAACTTTTGAAGTTATTGAGGTTAGGTTCTCTTTCATGAAGTTTGCTTTTAATAATTTCCGTTCATATTTCAGCGTGTCTAATGCTGGAATATTAATAATTCTCTCATATGTTGCCGAGTGATGTCTGCTGTGCAGGTCCTATGGTTCTATAATGTCCGGATACCAAACGTGGGAAGGAATCAGCTGTTTCTACGAGCAACAGCGGCAGATCGAATTTAGACCGCGCTGTAACCCATAATTCTGTCAGCTGTTTTCTTGCCGCACAACATGGCTGTCGCGTCTCACTATTGTTTTTTTTTTCAATTTGTTAATAATAAAAACAGCCGATAACAGGGACCGCACGGTCGGCGTTCTTTTTCTGTGTTTGTGTTGTTCTTTGTAGGCAGCGGCCTTGTACTGACCACCCGTCAAGGGATTCCTACCGTCTGTAAAATTCATAGTTTCCAGATTAATCCTGAAATGAAAACAGGCCAGAGGGCCTAACCGTCACAAAAAGAAAAAAAGAATATGAACACGCTTGCCTTTACGTTGCTTATTGCAACAAATGTACAGAAATCCATCACATTCTTAGGTATTAAAAGGGCCGCGCCATAGCTCAAGCAGTTAGTCGCTGGCTTCTCATCGCGTCGGCCCGGGTTCGATCCCGGGTCTGGTCAAGTGGGATTTGTGGTGGACAAAGTGGCGCTGGGGTGGGTTTTCCCATAGTACTTAGGTTTCCACCAAATTCTCCATCATCATAATCACCCGGGGCAGGCAACAATAGGCCAATCAGTGGCTGAGTGGACCCAGTTGCTCTCCACCCCCCACTAAGCGAATTAAAATTAATTAGATATTAAAAAGTTAAACAGTTAACAGTGTACTTCTCAAATGTACGGGAGGAAAATATTGTCCTATGAATGAAAACGTATAAATTCAGACGTTGTGACACTAACCCTACAAGTGCCAAGGTCAACACCCTCTTATCACGACCTTATCTCGTGTAGGCAGGATACCGGATCCTGTCCCAGAAACAGTTATTCTCACATGTATTGTTTTGTCATATTCACGCAGTGTAGGCATATACACACCCGGTTACAAAATCGGGCCTACCAACTCTTGCAGAAGGGCCAACCTGTTGTTACGGAATTACCCTTAAATGTGAAGTGGGCAGTTTAAGAGCTTAAAAAAGCACCTAATGATTTAGTAATGTTTGTGCTCTGTGCTCTCGTACGTATACAGATCTGATTTCAGTATGGTGTCCGTACAAGGGGTCATTTTATCCACATTAGCAACATTGAACCGTATGATTTGTGAATATCTTTGAAATGGGTCCAGAGGCTTTATAAGCACCAGTAATGTGCTCGTCAGCTGGGCCATGCGTCGTGCATCTTGCAATTTGTTAATTATTATTATTATTAGCATTTCTCTCATGAGGTGACACTAAGTCTCTTGTACTGCGGCCAATACAGGCCAATTGTACCAGACCCAGGTGATAGGTGAGGGTGATTGTAGAGCAATTGGTGGAATGAAGATTGGCAGGGGAAACCGAAGTACGCGGAGAAAACCTGCTCCAGCTCCACTTCGTCCACCACAAATCCCACCTGACTTGACCCGTGCTCGAACTCAGGCAGCCGGCGACTAACCGCCCGAGCTATGGCACGGCTACTTTATTAAATAAGCGCCCGGTATCTCAGATTACGTGACGTTGAATGATTCGATGATGGTGAATAATGAATTAGGATATTCTAGAAGCGGCCATGACCTAATTTAATTCTGTACAAATGTACAGAAATCCATCACATTCTTAGATATTAAAAGGTGCCGCGCCATTGCTAAAGCGGTTAGTCGCTGGCTTCCCATCGCGGCGGCCCGGGTTCGATCCCTGGTCTGGTCAAGTGGGATTTGTGGTGGACAAAGTGGCCCTGGGCAGGTTTTCTCCGAGTACTTCGGTTTCCCCTGCCAATCTTCATTCCACCAATTGCTCCACAATCACCCTCACCTATCATCTGGGGCTGGTACAATAGGCCAGAAGTGGCCGCAGTACAAGGGACTTATCCCCACCCCACTAGCATTGAAAAAAAAAGATATATTGGGTAGAATATCAATTACCAAGGAAAACTCAGAGTGCTTTCAGAAAGTAGTAGTCCCAGTGACACTTTGTCCAAACCCCACCGTTGCTTTCAGACATGAAATATGCCCCCCCCCCAACCGCACAATAGCGTGTTCAGGGGCTGAACAATTAATGCATTCACTAGTCACAGTGGCCGCGCGGTCTAAGGCGTGAACTGTCTTCGCTCGCTCGAACTCTGGGACCATGGGTTCGAATCCCACTCAAGGCGTGGATACCTGTGTGCTTTTATTCTGCCTTTATGTTCCCTCTGAAGGTAGCGGCATTGCAACGGGCTGATCCCCCGTCCAAGGAGTCTTACCGACTATGTATAGGACTAAGAAATTGAAAAGGCGGTCAAGGTCCAACAGAAGACCTGTAGAACCACAGATAAGTATGTAGGTAGGTGGACGGATGGACGGACGGACGGACGGATGGATGGATGGACGGACGGATGATTAGTAATTAGAATCAGGAGTAACCTTTATAACAAAACTGTATTTTGTTACAGGTTTCTTTACATTTGACTGTGGAAGCGCATCGTATTGAGTCAACATGGGAACATGACATGGCACGCCGACACAAGAAAAAATTAAGTACGTAAAATACAGACAATACAAAATAAAATTAAATAAATTGTAATTAATTGAACATAAATATTCTACTTAAATTATATAATTTTTGCGATATTATCACATAATACATACTGTAACTTGTTAAGCAATTTCTTTAACCTTGTACACTATCCTGAATAAGAACATTTTTATGGACCGAAACGCCGTAATGTTTTTATTGAATTGTCCTTCAGTTGTAGTGAAAGGGATTTCACTTGACAGGTTCTGGTAAATTTACTTGAGAGCACTATAGGCATATAGTAGTTGTTACCAGAGCTCTGGTAAAAACGAATGAATTTCTATGAAAGGAAATTCTAAACTTTTTGTCCGCTCCGGTGAATTATGAATTGCTTTTACTGTCATGTTGTACAAAAGCCGCAATTACGTTGTAGCCCAGTGTGTGAAATAAAAGGGAAATTTAACATTGTCGGGGTGGCAACCATAGGAAGTAACAGGCTATAAGTCACTCAATCAACCCTTAACGGCAACCTTTAACATCTTTCTCTCTCTTACTTTCACTCGTTTCTTTATAAAGTCTTATCGCCTCTCTTTCTGTTCCATGAAGCAGTGTATTTCTTATTGAATGAAACAACAGCTCACCGCGCAATCTTTCTTTTACACTGACTGCTTAGTTCATATGTGTCGCAATATATTTTTACTTTGTTATAATACGTAGTACGACCGCCTATGCTCTAGTGGTCAGAGTTCCTGGTTACAGATCCAGAGGTCCCAGTTTAAATTCCCGGCGCTACCACATTTTCTGAGAACTAGTGGGTCTGGAACGGGGTCCACTCAGCCTCGTGAGGATAATTGAGGAGCTATTTCAAGGAAATAGCTGCTCCGGTCTAGAAATCCGAGATCAACGGCCGTGGGGATCCGTTTTGCTGACCACGTGACACCCTCTATCTGCTATGTTGCCAGTAACTTCACCGACAAGTGGCGGTCGCTCGGTCGGTATAGTTCGCTTGCGGACTACAGGCCACGGAAGTTTTTTCTTTTTTTGTTAGTATACATATGAAAGTTCTGTGATCACGTAAAATGAAGTCGGGCTCAAGATTCTGACACACGTTTTGAGTTCCCCTTCAATACGAAGAGTGGTTATTGGAACGCATGCGAGCCTCGCTAGCGTACGAACGGCTGAACATGTATTTTTCATATTCTGTAATTAAGAGTTTGTTCATCAAAAATGGATTCACAGTGTAAGAATATCCTAGCTCCAACAATATGGGCCTTTGCAGTGGAACCCGGAATACAGATATGAATTTTTTTTTCAAAATCGCTCTAACGTTTCAGATTAAATTTCAACAGTTCAGGAAAACCGCAGTCTCTAAATTAACCTATGTAAGAAGATAACGATACTCGCGCTAGGGGGTCCAGACGTGAGACGTAAATTTTATCGAAACCGCGCTTTAATGGTCGGACCGACTTAATTGTTGCTCCGTATTAAGTTATCAACAATGGTCTACAGTTCCAAAACTATTGATAAGGAAGATATATTACGTACTGTGTAAGATTTGAGGCTTTCACGGCGGTGACTGAAGAAAGCGGTCTTCTGGGGTTGACACCACATATACACGGTGCCAAATCCCAGAAGACTGCTTTCTTCATATTACGTACTGTTTCTAATACCGGTATTTATTGTTCAAGTGACAAACTTGGTACAGTTTACCTAGTGTAACACATTTTCGGAAATTCCACCGTCAACATCAATGCACTTTGCAACTCGTGTGAGGACATGGCGTGTTGCTCGTTTGTATAGTGTACAGTGTGCTGTACAGTGAAATATCTCTTATCTCGGAAACCGCTCGGAATAGGACACATGTACATATACAATTTTTGCTTAGAGTGACCGATACTATGACCTCCCAGAATATTGACTTTCCCACCTGGGACACCCTGTATATTAGCTCCGGGGCAGAAGGTGATAAGTGAATACTGAATGAGAAATATTCGGAAAGAAACTATCGTGGTCTACCTGGAATTACTATCCCAACGTCTGCCTGAAGGGACTGAGGAAATCTGTGAAGACGCTCAGTCAGGATGGTTGGTATCGCGGCCACTATCCCAAAATTGCCTGAAGGGACTGAGGAGAACCTTGAAGACACTTCGGTGGGTTAGTGTGTGTCCCGGCTAATTCCGGACCGGTGGCCTCTCGAATATATTTGAGAGGGCTTCAGCTGCTGCGTGTGTTTGTTGTGTGTAGATGCATAAAAGCGTGTTACTAGCTTTCCGAAGCCAATCTGCGTCAGTTTTTACCGATATTAGAACAGTTGCATATAAGTGACGTTTTCTCTAAGCTCAGATTGATGTAGATAGTTAATCAAGGACGGTATAATGACGGGCTAAGGGCTGCATGGTTGGGGTTCGATTCCAGGCAGCGGCAAGAGATTGTTCTCTTCGCCGCAGCGTCCAGACAGGCTCTTGGGCCCACCTGGCCTCCTATCCAGTGGGTACCCGGGGTTTTGTGCCCTAGGACAAAGCGGCCGGAGTGTGAAACTGGTCATTCATCGCCATCTACTACCGAGTTCAAGCATGGGGACTATCCATATACCTCCACTCCTCTATACATCCTCATGGTGTGGTGCTTACTTGACGGAGCGCAAGGATAACTTTACCTTTTACAGATACATAATTACTAAGTTCGCCACGTGGGAATCACATTTTGTTCCCAATCGAATGTAACGCGATTTGGAAATATCACACAATCCATCTGTGGTCTGTTCAACAAGGATAACTGGGAACCAATTACTCCAGGGGCTTAAATCCCATATTTGCGGACAGGAAATGTATTATTTTGTGTTCGTTGAAGCTGCGAAATCGGTGCAGTGTACTGTAAGGGCCGTGCACAACTGTGTAGAAATGACCCCCGTAGGTATGACAATGAAAGCGGGACATTGCGCTCGCCAACTGTCAACATATGTGGCATATTTTGAGCGATGATATCTACGTTGTAAATGGGAGAGGAAATCGCTTACAAAGTTACAAACAGACACAAGCCGTTCGAAGCATTGTGATACCAATAATAGTGTTGGATGACAGCTCTCTGTCCTGTCGACAAATCGGATGAAAACAACGCACTGAACAGTTTTGCTAGGCGCATTCGAAAACAGGCGTAAGATATATGGATCAGTTTACTCTTCGGCTGTCCAAATCAGAAAGAGAGAAAAATGGAATTGTCCCTAGGGTTCCCCTTCATTCTTCTAAAAAGACACAAATATGAATATACAATTAATAATTTACCCCATTACATTCGACACGCTATAGAACAGTGTTTCTCAACCACCGGACCGCGGCTCGGTACCAGGCCCTTGTCTTGTAGAAAAAAGAATTTACCGGGCCGCGGTCTGACAACGGTTGAGAACCACTGCTGTAGAGCATTATATGGTGTCACCGAAGGAACTTAAACCAGGGACGAATCCAGGCTGAAAGGTAATTACTGTCTTCTGAGATATGACACTGTGTAGTCTGGTTGATCGTTACCAACGTTTCGGAGTAACCTAATTTCTCCGTCTTCAAGGTATAAGAGTGTAGTCTGTGTAAAGTAATCTCGCCATAGAGTGTTCTTATGCGAAGAAGGGCGGTAGATTCCTCGGATCCTTTGGCAAGGATCATAACATCTCGGCAAGGACCTCACAGAAAACACCGTTCCTCTGTTGCTTGTTTAATTGTCACTCATCAAGAATCTGCTAACTAGGAACGAATGTTCCGTTGTTTGTTTCGTGCCCGTTACCTAGAAACGAATGTTTCAGAGCGTTCGCCCGCAACGACAGCTCTGTCGCTCCACGTTTCCTGCTTTGGGCAAACATGCCACAGAACTCATTGGCGTGACAATTCATAAACTTCAGCAGTTCGTCATGCAACATAGAAAGTTAGTAGTGTACAGTGGTGTAGTACGTCAGCTGTTCATTGTGTATGTATCCGGGTCTGTACATGTATTTATCGAAATGTTATTCACTTACAAACACATATATGTCTATATATTGAAGCAGAAGATTTGTATAATCTCTACAAAAGTTCCTGATAAAAAAATCAGTACTTCCTCCTAAACAAGGGCATTAGCAAGATTTTGTCTAATTAAAAGATGGCGGGTCATGAATTACTTTTAATGCCTGAAATGCGTTGATAGCGCCATATACCCCTTTAATCCTGCCAAAACATTAGTTATTATGTATGGAGTACACAGTTTTGTTTGATCTTTCATTATTACATTTCGCATTAATTGGAGGCAGCATCGCTGAAGCAGAGGCACTGGCCATGTATTTGTACTTGTCCGTTCTCAACGCGCAGTGGATCTGACACAGGGTCCACAGTGACTGAGATAAGGGGTGTAGGGTGTGCATGGGTGACATCCTCCCTCCCTCCCACCCCACAAAGCAGGTGCAACCACGCCGGCTGTTCTTACTGAGACTTTGCTCAGGATATCTTCGGTGTTCATTTAACTACGTCTTATCAACTATAAGTTAAAAAGAATAAAGCTATCCCTGTACCAGGCCGTGAAGGCCCATAGGGTTGTGAGACGTTGAGGGTCCCACATTATGTACACAATCGGCTCAAATATGGCGGTAAGGTTGTCAGCCTTACGCACCGGCCGCGCTTTACTCCCCAGGAAAATTATTTAATTAATTCCTGGTACTCATTTCTGTTAAGAGGCTGAGTGAACCCCACGGCCATAGTGCGGCTGGAAGGGTTAGGTCAATTGAAGAAATCCAATGACCTCATCGGGACTTGAACCCGCGACTTTCCGGCTCGTAGCATAGCCCCTCAATCAACTACGCTACCGCGTATCCCTTACGTCTTATCAACTATATGGGTAAAAAAAGTAAGAGATATCCCTATAAAGGGCCGTAGGCGCTCATAGGGTTGTGAAACTTAGAGGCTCCCACATTTTCTAAACAGTCGGTTCACAGATGACGGTGAGATTGTCAGCCTTACGCGCCAGCCACCCTTTACTCCCAGGTACATTCCTGGTATTCATTTCTGTT